CAGGCCATCCAAATGATCATTGGCTTTCGTGTATCATTTATCACAGAAAGTTTGCACAGTCAAATTTCGTTGAGCTTGTTTAATTAAAGCATTTTCTCATCATTAAAATGAGAGAATATTGTCTTCGAAAATAAAACCGGGGATGTGTTTAAGCTAGATGAGATCGATCGATAAAATATTGTTTTTGATTTTACTTTGTGTTGAAGCCAGTTAAATGAAAGTATGGAGTATATAGTTGAAAAACTCCTAATTTATTCAGCTTATCCAAGTAAAACGGAAGTCTGTAACGGTAATTAGCCAGCTGAGGTCGTCTTCTAAATTTGGCTATTTAAGATAGAAGAAAAGAGATTTGTTGATAGGAAACTATTTACTTATTATGATTAAGCATTAAGTCAACTTCTATCACCCGATTCTAGTTTCTTTTTACTCTTTATTTGTCACTCGAATGATCAGGAAAGTGTTATGAAAAATGAGATAAAGTTGGAGGAACCTAATGCTTATAAGCAAGGAAAGGAAACAAACGAAGTATTCGTAAAATGAGTATGAATAATTAAAAAAATCCGTACTCCACTCGTTAAAATCATTTTCAGTAAATATAACAAGCTACCAGACACGAATAAACTTTATTCAACTCTAATTGTGTATAACACTGTAACCGATAATCTGACTGAATCTGATGGTAATTAATGATATTTCATATTTAAATTCACATACGATACTTCGGCTAACCATACTGTATAATTATGATATTTAAGGGTTGAATACGAAATGTACCTAGAAATTCACAATTCATGCTTTCACGTGACAGCAAATAACCACATAAACGTATGAAAATGGATTGTATCAAATATTTTATTTAATTTTGTGTCGCAGCTTATCTTATTCAAAAAGACAAGGACAAATCGGAATACATAAGCACATATATACTAGAAATGTATATAGATGAATTGTCACGATTAATAATTTATTAGTATATACAATACTGAAGCTAAGATTAAAATGGCATATCGATAATTCACATAATTGTTCCAATTCGTATCAGGTTACACAAGGGTTTATATGAATTCATGATATGACTGAAATATAACAGTTTATGTTTCAAGTATATATTACTCCTATCCAAAGTTATTTTACATCAACTCTGCCTGCAGTCCCTCCGGGGGCTACTGCCGGTCCCAAGCCCGGATAAAGGAGGAGGGTTGGGCATGGGGTTAGCGACCCCATCCCGTAGAAAACTAACTCGCTAAAAAAACGCTTACCAGAAAAAACTATTCAAACCACTTAAACTCTGCCCTGGGAGTCAGGTCTTCGTTTAGAAGAATTATGACGCCTCATGATGAAAGCCGAGTCCCTTCGGAAGTCACGAGGCCGATACCCATTCTGACAACCACATCAACCATTTATTTAGGTACATGCAATGCTCGTACAATGTGGGAAACTGGGAGAGTTTTCCAAATTGCTGCAGAAATGAAGAGATACAACCTAGAGGTGCTTGGGATCAGTGAAACACATTGGACGCAAGTTGGACAACAACGACTGGCTTTAGGGGAGCTGTTGTTATACTCTGGACATGAACAAGAAAATGCCTCACATGCACAAGGAGTAGCATTGATGCTATCCAAATAAGCACAAAATGCACTTATAGGATGGGAATCTCATGGACCAAGGATCACCAAAGTCTCCTTCAAAACAAAGAAAGAGGGCATTACAATGAACGTCATCCAATGCTATGCGCCTACCAACTATTATAATGAAGATGTTAACGATCAATTCTATGAAAGGCTGCAGTCAATCGTCCCGAAGTGCTCAACAAAGACTTGACCATTCTGATTGGAGATTTAAATGCCAAGGTTGGAATTGACAACACCGGATATGAAGAAATCATGGGACGACATGGACTGGGAGAAAGGAACGAAAATGGTGAGAGATTTGCAAACTTATGTGCCTTCAATAAATTGGTCATAGGCGGCACTATATTCCTACATAAACGCCACCAACATTGGAGAACAACGAAACAGGTGGGTAGAACACTTCCAAGAACTCTTCAATCGACCAGTCCCACTGAACCCACCCACCATCGAAGCAGCACTCACGACTCTCCCAACCGATGTTGGCCCACCAACAATTGAAGAAATCAGCATGGCCATCAGACAAATCAGGTGTGATAAAGCAGCAGGACCAGATAAAATTCCAGCAGAGGCACTGAAAGCAGATGTAGAAGTAACTGCAAAGATACTCGACATACTCTTCAATAAGATTTGGGATGAGGAACAAGTTACAAAAGACTGGAAAGAAGGACTTCTGGTCAAAATACCAAAGAAAGGCGATCTCAGCAACTGTGATAACTACAGGGGAATCACTCTTCTTTCAATACCAGGAAAAGTCTTGAACAGAATGAAGGACTCCGTAGACGCCCAACTTCGCGACCAACAGGCAGGATTCCGTAAGGATAGATCGTGTACAGACCAAATCGCAACTCTACGGATCACTGTAAAACAATCAATTGGATGGAATACGTCGCTCCACATCAACTTCATTGACTACGAAAAAGCATTTGACAGCGTAGACAGAACAACATTATGGAAGCTTCTTCGACACTACGGCGTGTCTCAGAAGATAGTCAATATCATATGGAATTCCTACGATGGATTAAACTGCAAAATCGTTCATAGAGGCCAGTTGACAAACTCCTTCGAAGTAAAGACCGGTGTCAGGCAAGGTTGCTCACTCTCACCCTTTCTCTTTCTCCTGGTGATCGACTGGATCATGAAGACGTCAACATCTGAAGGGAAGCGCGGGATACAGTGGACATCTAGGATGCAGTTGGACGATCTAGACTTCTCAGATGACCTAGCTCTTCTATTGCACACACAACAATAAATGCAGGAGAAGACGACCAGTGTAGCAGCAGCCTCAGCAGCAATAGGTCTCAATATACACAAAGGGAAAAGCAAGATTCTTCGATACAACACAGCATGCACCAATCCAATCACAATTGACGGAGAAGCTTTGGAAGATGTAAAAACCTTTACATATTTGGGCAGTATCATCGATGTACACGGTGGATCTGATGCAAATGTGAAGGCACGGATCGGCAGAGTAAGAGCAGCATATTTACAACTGAAGAATATCTGGAACTCAAAATAATTGGCAGCCAACACCAAAGTCAGAATTTTCAATACAAATGTCAAGACAGTTCTACTGTATGGGGCGGAAACCTGAAGAACTACGAAAGCCAACATCTAGAAAATACAAGTGTATATTAATAGCCGTCTACGCAAAATACTTCGGATCCGTTGGCCAGATACTATCAGCAACAACCTACTGTGGGAGAGAAAAAATCAGATCCCAGTGGAGGAAGAAATGAGCAAGAAGCGCTGGAAGTGGACAGGATACACAGTGAGGAAAGCACCGAACTGCGTCACAAGAAAAGCCCTCACATGGAATCCTCAAGGTCGAAGGGGAAGAGGAAGACCAAAGAACACATTACGCCGGGAAACGGAGATAGACATGAGAAGAATTGGATGGAACTAGAAAAGAAGGCCCAGGACAGAGTGGGTTGGAGAGTGCTGGTCGGCGGCCTATGCTCCATTAGGAGTAACAGGCGTTAGTAAATATATATTACAGTTAAACAGCTTTGCTTATTAAAATAAGGCAAAGTAAATGGCATTGAGTAATATGATATACAATGGTAAATTAGTTTCCTTTATTTTAGCATTAATACTAGTGGAAGATGAAATTATCAACTCATTTTACTCATAAGTCAAATATACTAAATTTAAAATTTGTTCATGTGTGGAAGTGTCTTATTATCAGTTTATCATAGTTATGTATGTTATCATTATTTTTATTGTAAGATAATAAGTATTTTCGTGGATTGTGGGAATGAGACAATCTAACTGATAGATGAAACCAGTGTAGATGAAACAAACTTTTCGACCTAAATTTTGTAATTTTACGTCAGTTTTTTTTTCCATTTAATGATGTGAAAACTCCCACTCAGATAGTAGAAAAAAAACGTGAATAGATCGAAGTATTTCCTTTCAGTTAGTTTTTAAGAACATGGATACACAAATGTATATGTTTACATGATTAATAATAATATTAGGGGATACTAGTCAGGTGGTGATGCGTCCAAGTGTATCAAAAGTTTTGCTTTAATTAACTTGACATCCTGTGCCAACCAAATGAGTGAGAACGGAACCCCTTGTTACCTAAATGGATTTTTCGATACAAAAAGATCATGGAAAAATGAAGACTTGGAAGCAAATACCACTCTCAGAATATGTTAGATATCTCCGGTGTGTCATGTGTTGCAAAGTCCAGCATATGAACTTTCTACTTGAGTAACGTATCAGAAAATATTTATCATATTAGCATGAAATAATTTCAGGACTAACCCAGTAGACAACAAAAACCACTGGTCACTAGCTTATTAGAACCCTCTGGTTCTGCCTGTATCGGGCATGGATTAAGCGTGGTTCTTAATTTCATTAGTACTTGAGTCACCCACTAGATTTATTTCTAATCACTGGTGTATTAATCTACTTCTAAATACATTTACCGGTAGTTTGTTTTGTATGTAAATACGTTGTTTTACAGGGAAAATACATAATCTATAGGATGGCTGCCTCCCAATATTAGTTTGCTATGGGCTTATGTAATTCAGCCACGTAACCATCTATGTCGTATCCTCGGACTCTAATTATTGATCAGTATTACATCCATTCTTTTAACGATCTCTAATCATTCCAAATCTGAAATTCACCCATCATAACAACCGCCTACGAAATCTTTTTCTTCCAGGTGAATAGCCGCTAAAACTTGTTCATACTCATTTTCTCATGACTTCTTACATTCAATGGAATCTTTTTCCTTAAAATGTTTTCAGTCTTTATATCAACAAATTACCACTTCTGCATCGGATTCTAGCTCACGAGATGAACCTAAAAAACCTAATATAGTAAGTAATACGATGTTGATGCAACCAAACACGCATATTTCATTCAAACTGAATACTGTAGTCTATTATTGTTATTGACAATAAGATCCAGTTACCATGCAAGTGTCGTATCTAAGATGATAAAACACTGGGGTTTTAACATGAAAGCTAGTTAAAAGACAATCGCGATCTGGTTTTCTTCTATAATTATTCTCAAATAATATGAAAGATTGATTTAAAATATTTAGTGAGATTAACGTCAAATTTTGAGTAAAAAGACACTGATATGAACGAATTAAAAACAACTGGTGTTGACAGTCAAAGAAGTAACTGAACATTCAGTTATTAGAATCCACAAAGCAGTAGTTATTATAAGAGAATTGCACAGTAAAAAAAATTAGGTTTTAAAAATCCCTTTTTACAATGTCTAAGAAATATCATAAATTAGGCTATACGCACATTTGCATGTAAAGGTCGTAACCGTTTTGTACGCGATAAACCAAGACGAAGACCACTAGACGGAGTGACAGGAAAAAAGGCTTTATTTGAAGGTGGTGTAGTTACATTATTGACTAATGAGTTGGAATAAACAATGGCAGGAGAGGATCTTGACAAAGATTTGTGGCTAGAAATTGTTATAGATTCTGAAGTTTCACAATGGGAAGCCGAAGGATTAGAACTAGTGAGTTTTGCTTCATTGATTATTATGTTAGATGGCTTTTCCTTTTGTGTTTGAATTGTTTCACAATGCTTCACGGCCGTATCTTTCATCATTTTCTTAGTCTTTGAAGGTTTGCTTATCAACTTGACCTCTTTATCACTAGTCTTCTTGAATTTAACGGGTTCATCATCATCATCAAAGAACTCCGTATCACTGTCACCTAATAGAGCATAATTGTGAACTTTTCGTATCCGTGAGGAGCGTTTTTCTGTCATTTAAATTTGATAATTGGTTTTCTGATTGAGACCTGTATTAATAACAAGCAAAAATATTTTATTGAATATATATTTATAGGTTTAAGTGATATTCTCTGAACCATATTTACGAGAACAAATTATACCACTAAGCTGACGAAAAGTAAGTAGTGCATGAGGAACATTAAACTGTAATTGAGACTGTTTTCCCCTACATCATGAGCTTTAGAATTCCTTTGCACTTTTTTATTTCACAAATTTATATTTCCTTGAATCGTACTGTCTGAAGCCTACTCTATTTTACTACCAACGATACTGTAACTATCTCTAACACTCTAGTGTTCAATGTGAAGACAGTATGACAACTTAAAAAATTATGCAAATATGTATCAGAATCTGCGTTGTTTATGTAAGAGTAATTGGTGGAAATAAGATAACCTTAAACTGTTTACATCAACTCTACAAATTCTGACACATGCCTATTTAACTATTTCCGATACATTTCAGTAGATTTTTAATGCTTTAATTAGTATGGTAAATGGTGGACTCTTCATACATGTGAAGCAGAGACTTGTTCGATACGAGATCAGACCTCTCTCATCCTTAGTTTGAGTACCCAGATAGCAACAATAACTGCTACATAAAATGCTATTTAAAGTTGAATACGTGACTCTACTTGGTTACTGAGTCCCAATGAAAAACTAAAATACTCTGTAACAAAATCACACCAAACAGTTGGGCGTTCATTATACATTATAACTCTGACAATGTAAGTTATTTATTTATTTTAACACATAGATATTGATACAAGAAGGCACCAAATACATATGCGCCACACAAATCTCAATTGATATATGTGAGGGTTGTGATACTGCCCGGGTGCCCGAACCGAGGCAGGTAGTTTTCTTAGGGGGTCACATCCCGAGCCTTCGACCTGAACATTTGACCCACAAGGCAGTGGGGCATCGTGAGGAGATGCAGTCCCATGGAAGCTGGTGACCAACGATTGGTTCATACGCCATTTTTTCTTTCAGGATACTGGAGCCCATGTGCACCATTGGTTTGGGATCCGGTTAAAGCGCCGGACATTCGCTTTTCGTCCTCTCATTTTTGTAAACAACACTTGTGGCACGAGAAGGCAGTGAGTAGGACTTCCCTGGCAGAGACTATATACGCGTGGCCATGTGAGAGCATTTCGAGCGGGAGAGCGAACTCTCCCCACTCTCGGCCGTACCAGGGCATTTGGGGGCAACAATGTAAGAGACAGAATTGACGCTAGTTGGTGGAAATCGGAAAGCAATGTACAAAAGTTTCTTGCGTTGTGATAATCAGCATAGATATTATTATTATTGAGTCACTGAACCTACTCATATTTTTATATTTGTCCCCACTCACTACAGATTGTTATGGCACATATAGTGTAAAACAAGCCTAGGGAACAGATATACTAGCAAGTCGCAAAAGATACATATTGTGCTTCTTGGTTCCGAAATTCTCATGGATCATAACTCAAGGAATTCAACCAAATATTTTCAAGGAAACCTACATGAACACACAATTTTTAGCTTAACATATGGGCGAAAGGACATTTACTACTTAAAAAGCCACTCTCTGGAATTATCTTCAATTTGTTACTGGCGGTTAATAAGTTTTAACTCCACCTATAGCCCCTTGAAGGTTACTACCTGTCCCACGTCTGAATAAAAGAGGAGGGTTGGGTATGCGGTCAGCAACCCTATTCCGTAGAAAATAACATTGCTAAAAACGCAGACCGGAAAAAGAATTTAAGCCATGTGAGTTGAAAGATCTTCATTTAGAAGAATTATGATGCCTCATGGTGAAAGCCGAAATTCCTTGAAAACCACGATACCGACCCCCTTTTGATAACCAGAGGCCCCCAAATGCCCTGGTACGGCCGAGAGCGGGGAGAGTCCGCTCTCCCTCTCAAAATGCTCTCACATGGCCACGCGTATATAGTCTCTGCCAGGGAAGTCCTACTCACTGCCTTCTCGTGCCACAGGTGTTGTTTACAAAAATGAGAGGACGAAAAGCGAATGTTCGGCGCTTTAACCGGATCCCAAACCAATGGTGCACATGGGCTCCAGTATCCTGAAGGAAAAAATGGCGTATGAACCAATCGTTGGTCACCAGCTTCCATGGGACTGCATCTCCTTACGATGCTCCACTGCCTTGTGGGTCAAATGTTCAGGTCGAAGGCTCGGGGTGTGGCCCCTAAGAAAACCATCTGCTTCGGTCTGGGCACCCGGGCAGTATCACAGCCCTCACACAAATCAATTGCGATTCGTGTGGCGCATATGTATTTGGTGCCTCCCTGTACCTATACTTATGTGTTAAAATAAATAAATAAATAAATGATAACCAGAGCAACAATTAATATAGGTACTGAGATTCAAGAACAGCGGAACAGGTGGACAGGACACTTTGAATGGACCAGTCAAACTGAACCAACCAGACATCGAAGTAGCACACGCAGACCTTCCTATAGATGTCACTCCAAGAACAGTCGAAGAAATCAGGATGGCCATCAGACAAATCACGGGTGGGAAAACAGCGAGACCTGACAACATACCAGCTGAGGCACTGAAGCAAGATATGGGGGTAACTGTAAAGATGATACACGTTCCATCCACAAAAATTTGAGACTGATGTATATATGTGCCTGGTCCTACGTTGCAGCTGACTGAGAAAGCATTTGACAGCGTGGACTGGAGAACATTATGGAACTGTATTTGACAGTATGGTACACCTGAAACGATTGTCAACATCATACAAAAATTCATACGACGGACAACGCTGCAAAGTGGTGCATGGAAGACAGCTGGCAGACACATTCTAAGTACAGACCAGAGTCAGATACAGCTGACTACTCTTCCCCTTTCACTTTCTTCTGATGGTTGACTGGATTATGATGACCACATGAGGGGAGGCACGGAATACAATAGACAGCTTGGATTCAACTAGATGATTTGGCCCTTCTATCCCATGTACATCAACAAGTGCAGGTCAAGACAAACAGTGTAGCAGCAGCCTCAACATACACAAGCGAAAAAGCAAGATTCTCAAATACAGCACAGAGTATATCAACGCAATCACACCTGGAGAAACTCTGGAAGAAGTGGAAATATTCACGTAACTGGATAGCATCATCGATGAACGTGGACTTGGTGCAGACGTAAAGGCGAGGATTGGCAAATCAAGGACAGCATTCCTACAGTTGGAGAACATAAGGAGCTCAAAACAACTGTCAACCAATATCAAAGTCATAATGTTCAATACGAACGTCAAGACAGTTCTGCTGTACGGAGCTGACACTTGGAGAACTACCACAACCATCAATAGTCAAAAAGGTACAAGTATTTACAAACAATTGTCTATTCGAGATACTCGTTGCCTGTTGACTGGATACCATCAGTAACAACCTACTGTGGGAGAGAAAAAACCAGACTCCAGATGAAGAGGAAATTAGGAAAATATGCTGGAGGTGGGTAGGAAAAGGCAAGCCCTGACTCGAGATCTTCATGGTGGAATGAAAAGAGGAAGACCAAGGAACACTGTGTCGGGAAATGGAGGCAGACATCAAAAGAATAAAACACAATTTAAGACTAGAAAGGATTGTCCAGGACAGAGTTTGATGGAGAATCCTGGTGGGTGATCTATGCCCCCCCAAGTGGGGTAACAGGCATGAGTAATTTTGGTAATTTAACAACGATCATGAATAACAATAGTGAGGATAAACTACCAAGTTATATACCTTTGCAAACTACTGTACTACTTTCAAAACTTTCCTAGAGAGCAATATCAATTTTTTAATGAAGGTAGTTTCTCTTAACTATTTAAAAGACGATGAATAAAATGAACACACTCTAAAAGAAAGCATTGATGTAGTAGAACTTGAAAAATTATTCACAAAAACCTTAGAGCATCGTAGATAACAGTAAATAGTCAGGCAGACTGTCTATAAGTAAACTTACTAAACTTCAAACTATTGATGGCAATTTAATTGGTAAGAGATGCCACTACGTTTAAGTAAAAGTGTGTAAAGATGGGATAATGGCCTTGCAATACTCCGTAGGAAGTGAAATATATTTACAAAGCGTAATCGCCTCAGAAGTAAAATTCAATCGCAACTAACTACAAAATGTCTAAAAATTTGTAAAATCATGTATGCTACCCATTATTCTTTACTGAGCTTCGAGAGAAAATTTTGCAGCATGACGGGATGCTGTAAGTAATTACTGAGGTATATGAGGAATTTTTTGATGTAACTATATGGTTGTAGATAGACATTTGAAATCTTGCAAACTACTGGTAAGTGTTATTTTATCAGATACTGACCAACACCATCCAAATCTTTCTCCTTGTATATCTTCCGGTAGAACGAGAATCACACTAGAATTTAGGCATGCAGGGAGAAGTATGAACTGGGATTTCGTGTTGCGTTTTCGTGAAATCTTTAGTGGGGTCGTCTAGAAACTTGCTCAAATTGACCAGTTTGGTTTTACGGCTTGGAGCTTGGGACGCATGGAAGTCTGGAAAAATCCACAGATGCTGATGTTAGAAGTACACTACGGTTCGATTCATTTAAAATTTTCCAGATTATGCTGTCAGCAGATTCTGAATGTACAGTTAGTTTTTCGTCGCCGAATAGATGGTTGAAATATTGCGTTAAAAATACTAGATTATGCAAAGCTTTTATTTGGTATTTCACTAGGCTTTATCTTGCTTAAACACACCCTGATGCATCACGGTTTATAAGCGGCACAACAACCCCAAATTTTCAGACGCGTTCCCGCATTTAAGTTAGCCCACGAAAGCCTAGACAAAGGAAATATGTCTTAAGATTTTAGAGAAGATATCACTACGAAACGCTAATGGGTTTAGTTAATCTGCATTTCAGCTGATTATCTTAGAAAAACTATTTGTTAAAATAGCTCCATATGTTACGTCTTGGTCACTTTTCGATTCGACTTTGATCACTGCTGAGATGCTTTAAATAAGGTGCAGTAATAAAACTCATAGAATTAACTCAGGCCAGGGACTCTCCTAATCTCCAGATCCCGAGGATAATCCTCCCAATTTTGAGGGAAACCCATATAGAAAATTCTGGAGAAATGCGACTAAAAACCCTAGAACTCCCCACGGTTACGGGAAAATTATGATTTAATTTACTTTGATGAAAACCGAAATATTTGCAGATTTTCCCAAAATAATCGGAGTCGGTAGACTGGGAGAAACAATAATAATTCACTGCAGTCACTCCAATGAGAAAACCGAAACAGATAAAAGACTGAGTGATGAATAAGACAGCCGTGACCTACGTGAACGATTGGGGGAACTATAGATGAAACAGACTGAATAGGTATCTCAACTCAGGCTACTGAACACAAAACCTCTGTGGTGGTTCGATCCTAGCCTGAAGGCGTTTTGGATAATAGGGGAGCATGCAAAGTAAAGTATGAGAGGAAAGCAGGAAGAGAACAAGATGAGCCGTCGCTTGTTGCATCAAGCACACAAAATGGACTTACTCTTAATGGCAACAGCAACAAACAACAATTAGCAGCAAATCAAGCATGAGGTTAAGACAATTTGATAACGGAAACTATATGTTGAGTGAACAAAGCTCGGAGCCGGCTACACTGAAAAGTTCAAAACGGAGCCAGAAACAAGTATTACCAAAACCCGCGCTACCTATTTAAATGTTAATACCACACGGTCCACAACCTACAGTCTTTTCGATGCATAGAAGTCTCATAACATTTAGATAGGTTTATGTACTTGTTTATTTTAAAGGATAGAGGCATTTCTCACTTGTTTAATTCAGTTTTTCTGTTAGATGGCAGTCTGAACTAGTCTTAAAGACATGGTTTTTTAAATATTACTGTTCGATGATTGCTTACAAGCAATTCAGTAAAGTCATTATACATGTCTAGTGTAGAGTTTTGCGTCCAGTCAGTAGGTGCTTTGTTCACTAATGGAGCATACGAATAACAAGACTCTGGAGGGTTGTAAAAAAGAATAAAAGCAGAAGTGAGTTAACAATCCAGCAAGTTCACACAATGCAGTTGCATTTAATGAATAAAGCGACAGAAGGCCATCAGCAATAACACGAGCCTCGAGTTTTGGTAACCTTTTAATCAAAACTAGAGACTGATAGTTTAATCAGCTACATTGGTACCCGATGGCTTTAGATTTGTAACACGCTAAGTACAAACGTTTGGAGTGAATGGCCACGATGTATTATATACTCTACAATTCTGTTTGGCCAATTAGAACACATACAATTCAGTACCAAACTCCATGCTGTAGGGAAGAGGCCACAAAAATAAATCGTGCAAACCCACACGGTTATAATCAGCAAGTTGTGGAATTCCCTACTGGAAGCATAATGATGCCAACTCCTGCTGAAAGTTTCAACTTAAGCACCCAAGTTCACTTTATTTATGTAGTTGCTGAAAGAGATTACTCTTGGAGACCAGACGGATATCCCTCTACTCTGGATTGTATCATCATGAACCGTGCTCCGGGAGTTGCCAACTTATTAGTCATGAACCTCCATGGACAAAGCGATCACGCCTTCATATCATTCTAGCTCACCGAAGCTGGTTTACCAAAGGAATGCATATAATGGATAAAATTTCTCGGACGTAATTATGACTCTGTCAGAATAGAACTCGAAAGCATATTGTGTCTGGGCAAACGAAATTCTCTTTTCGTGAATGAGTGGCGAAGCACTCAAAGGATGACTTCTCCTCGCCAGCCGATCGATGCTCTGGATTTTCCGTGTCATACACGAAACCCTCCCGATCTTTCTCTTGACCGAAAGTTAATTCTCAGAAACTCATCAGAAACAAAGACATAACCTGAGACTATAGGATTTTCCCTAACAGCACAGATGAATATCCATATCACAGGATGATTCGTAACGCGTGTATCTAGAAATCTGAACAGAACAAAACAGTCCACCAGTCCTATTCAATAAAGTGACTGCACTTTCTATAGAACTTTGTATGGAAATGTGTAGCAGCGGTAAATAAATCCCCAAAATAAATAGCTCTGTAAGTTTTCGACATTGGATGCTGACCACCGTTTTAATAGACTCATCTAGCTGAAGGCTCTCGGTCATGCATCCGCATCAAATCACGAGTGGGAACGCCGTGCTCAACATCTACTGCAGTCGCTATCCAGATTACTTCAGACGATCCTCGATATATTGTTAGATTATCAAATATATCTTTTAATCTCCTCGCTTCTGCCTTTTGATTTCACTTGGTGGGTACGCTTCATATTAGAAGGTGTTACTGGTTAAAGCGTTGTCAAATTCTGAATACCTATGGTATCTTCATTGGTGAGCCCGACGTGATCTGCTACACTAAATTGCAAACTATGGGTCTGTTCTTTTACGGGATTTTATATATCATTGCTTTATTCTAATTTCTATACCCTGTGATATTTTTTCCCGTGTTTTTGGATATATATATATATTTCCCACTCGTCCATTCTCGTACTTGATATTTCACCATGACTGAACAGACATCTAAGGTATTTAAGTTAAAGACTTTGTCCCCACCTTCGTTCCAACTAACGCCCTTCAGGACAGACAACATCGAAGCCTGGTTTTGCTACGCAGAATCCGACTTCTACGAGCACGGCGTGAACGAAACACGTGCACAATTCCTCGCAGTAGTCAAGGCACTACTGTGCGAATTCAACAGGTACGTAACACCTAGTATGTTTACTAGTGATGTTTCTGACCCATGCAAAACCCTCAAACATGCCATCCTTAAACGCGGAGATCTAACCGATCGACAAAGGTAAGACCAACTCCTCAACAACATCGACCAGCAACACGGTTCTGCAACAGACATGTTGCAAAGAATGAGAGAAATTATTGGCCAAAGAACCTTCAATGATGGCCTGTTCAAACAAATTTTCTTATCAAAAATTCCTCAACAGGTGCAAGCTGTGCTGGTCTCGTTTCAAAACAACGCCGTAGACGAGCTGGCTGCCTCTGCCGACCGCATTCTCGAAATCACTAGATCTTCTAACGCCGAGGTTTTTTCAGTCAAATACAAGCCTCAAACGACGCAGAATGACATTACAGAGTTATGTCATACACTTACGTGTTATCTCAAACTTCGTAACGACCGTGAACGGTCATACACTCCGCGAAGAAGCACACCACGTAGGCGATCGTTTCTAAACCTCGAGAGACGGATAATCCTGACTGATGCTGGTATCATAACCAGTATGGAAAGTCCGCCAGAAATTGCAGAAAACCCTGCAATTTTCCCAACGCAAAATCGGTCGATGCGAAAAATGTTTCGGGAAACTTCCAAGCCGGCACGCGTTAACGGCAACCGTAGCCGGCAAATATAGCCGTCTATTATACGTCACTGATGTGATAACGAGAGTTCGCTACCTTGACGATACTGGAGCAGAAGTTGACGTTCACCCAGCGAATTCCAACGACCGGCTTCACAAATCGGTTTTAAATCTACAGGCGGCAAACGGAAAGCCTATCGCTACGCATGGCAAAGGGTACGTTTATCTTAAGGTGGGTTTACGCAAACCCATTCACTGGATCTTTGTTGTTGCGGATGTTTCTATGCCAATCATTGGTACGGACCTTCCACAACACCACAACTTAATAATCGATACGCGCAAACGGAAGCTAGTAGATGGAAATACTAATTTATCTGTTTGCTTAACTTCTTTTTCTGGTTGCAGGTTATCTCCTGTCACTATTAAGCACACTATAGACCCATTCTACCAACCACTACTCGATAAGTATTCTGGCATTTACTAATCGCAACCGAAATTGCCGTGTGTAACCAGCAACGTTACACATCACATCACGACTACAGGACCAGCTGTATTCTCTAAAGCACGCCGACTGGCCTCCGAAAAGTTAATGTTGGCGAAAAACGAAGTTGACCATATGATAGACTTAGGAATCATACGACCGTCAGATAGCCCATGAGCACCACCGTTGCACATGGTCCCTAAAAAGGACAGCAACGATTGGTGTCCAACTGGTGCCTATCGACGACTGACTGCAGAAACCATTCCCGATCGTTACCCGTTGCCTCACATTCACGATTTGACAGCTACCTTGAAAGGTACAACTGTGTGACGACGGACCTCTGGTAAACTCGAGGAAGCTTTAAGAGGTTCAGAAGGAGCCGAAGATATTCCAGCCAATCACCGTTAGCAAGAATATTCTAGAATCCCTACGTGTAGCTTCCCGATTGGACAAGGCTAATAACCCCCTGTATGCGGATTGGAGGACTATAATGATGATTTTTGTTCTTACTAAAACTATAAATACCTGACAATTTGTACCCATAATTGACACTGTTTGGAATAACATTCCTTTCACTAGTCTTCTATCTTCTCTTTGCGACTTGGAAGGGTTTGGGCGTTCGTGTGTTCAGTTGTACGCGTTATATCAAGTAAATCAACCATTTCTAAATATAACAACTGGCGACGGGTTATCATATCAAGATGTCATTTACCTTTGAACAACTTGAAGCCTTATTGGAACGTCAAGAAAAACGTTTCGAACAGTTCCAGATGCGCATGATAGAAACACTAATTCAGAAAATGAACCTGAATCAAAAAGAAGTTGCAGATGATCCCTTCAAATCTCATGTTGACCTTATCATCGATTCTATCCATAAATTTAACTTCGATGCTTCAGCTGGTATTACTTTTGAAACCTGGTTCAACAAATATGAAGATTTGTTCAAGGTCGACCTCAAAAAAATTGACGACGCCGCTAAGGTCAGAATACTCTTACGAAAACTTGGAACTGTTAAACATGAACGTTACAGTAATTTTATCCTTCCAAAGAATCCAAGAGATTTTTCTTTTGATTCAACGATCGAAACTTTGTCGCAAATATTCGCTGAACAGTCATCTTTGTTTAATATTCGTTATCAATGTCTTAAGATAACAAAAGCAGTTGACGATGACTGGGTGAAGCATGCGGGGTTAGTAAACCGTGAATGTGAGCGCTTCAAACTATCAGCATTGACAGAAGATCAGTTCAAGTGTCTAGTGTTCGTGTGCAGCCTCCAATCTCCTGAAGATGCCGATATTAGAACCAGAATTTTGAGTAAAATTGAACAATGTCCAAACATAACACTACAGGAAGTAACCACAGAGTGCCAAAGATTGGTAAACTTAAAACACGACACTTCCATGGTCGAAAATAATGGCCAGTTGCCATACGTTCTTGCTGTAAGTGGAAAGAAAGATACCGGCTCAAGAAAATCATCACACAGACAATCAGCCCTCATCTCCATGTTGGTCGTGTGGAGGTTGGCACTATAAAAGGTTCTGCCCATATAGAGAACATTATTGCAGTAAATGTCACCGAAAGGGCCATAAAGAAAACAGATGGAGAAAAATAACCCATAAACGACATTCTTCGAAGCCCTATCTCAAGAAATACAGACATAATGCACTAACAAAGTATTGGTATCACATAATTGAGCACGAATTTGCCGCCGACGAAAGTATGTGAATGTAGATATAAATAAAAAGCGTGCCCGCCTGCAGCTCGATACTGCTTCCGACATCACACTTATCAGTCGAAGAACCTGGAAACTTATCGGAAAACCACAGGTGCTACCGACAACCCAGTTAGCTCATAGCGCTTCTGGAGGAAAGTTGAACATTG